CACTATAAGAATAGGAAAAAGAATAGTTATAATCAAAAAGTCTTCCTCAAAATTTGGTATTGCCCACAACTTTATAACCAACACTAACAAGAGTCCCCAGAGTTTGGGATTCCGTCCAAGACAGTTTGGGGAACATATCTATGTCAACAATATGATTGTGACTTAGACCATCCATTTGTAGCAGGGACTTGGCACACAGCGAACAGACACGGTTTGAGAAGTTGAAACAGGGTCATCAACAACTGAATACCTCTGCGCTGGTAAAACAATGAGGTTGCTCCTGATCAACCATTGTCTTTTAATGACTCTTTGCACAGCAAAACCCACAGGGATGTTGGAGCATGGGAAAATCACCAGAAGGAAAGACCGAGGAAAGTGTCTCAGCCTGTTTTTTAAAAAGAGATATGCCCTCTGATTAAGGGGAGCCATTTCATAGCCAGAAACAGAGAGAGATGGCTGGAGGTGTGGGGAAAAGACTCTCAGGAGTGATGAGGATTCGGAGGTGTGGGAGGGGAATTGTGTTTGGGTTTTTGTTGTTTTGGCTAGATTCATCATTCTCTTACGTTGTTTAAGAGTAAACTGTGTTTAAAAAGGTCCTGCACAAAACCTGTGTTTCTTACTTTACCTGCCACAAGTCCCCAGAGAGTTCTACTCTAAACCAGACTGCCCAAAGAAGGGGAGACTCTGACCGAGTATGCATAAGCAACTAGGAGGGCTTGAGCTGTTCAGCACTGGTCTTGGGAGCCTAGGGTAGTTGGACTGTGGAGTCCCCTATCCCAAGGAAGGCTTTCAGACCGGGAGTCTGCATCTGGGAGTGTGCCCTGGAGACCTGGAGGCAGAGACAGTGCTGGGCTCTGCCCAGACCCAGCGGGATCCAAAGGTTGGGTCCTATTAGAACAGCCTGGTGATGATCTGTTAGAGGGACTTGACCTGGATGTAACACCATCATTTGCCTTGTAGATACCCACTAAGCTATGCGAATATCTAGATCTATAAAACAGGGGAAATGATCCTGACCTCCCTCAAAAAGTTCTTTGAGATCTACTGATGAAATGTGCTATCAGATCTTGGTATTATTGCGCATGCACACGCGTGCACACACACACACACACACACACACACACACACACACACACACACACACACACACACACAGAGTTACGGAAGGATGAATGGCAATTCTATACTTAAGGTTGTACAGTATTGTGAATTGCACTTGAAGAAGGACTAAAACCCAGTTTCACACTTGAAAGATTAAATTTAGTCTCTAAACTTGGCACAGTAACTCTTCATTTTTTAGTAAAATATTTCCTAACTCATGCAGAGGAGACATTTTAAAATGTTCCCTTTCTCAGAATTAGTGAGGTTTTCTGAGTGGGGAATAGATCCACACACAGAGCTATATATGTAATTACATTGTTAGAGTGAGTATTTACATGTGAACATAATGAGAAGAAAATTTTAAATACAGAATGTAATACTTTAGGTGCAAGCATAGAAACAAATTGAAAGGGAACAGAATAAGCTTTAACTCCTCTGGCATTTTAGTTTCATTTCAAACCAGAAAGAACTGATATTGCCAACACTTTGATCATTTAATGATTTTTCTCTGCTATAGTTTAATGTTCATATGATCTATATAAATTATGCAGTTTAGTTAATACTTTTTTATGACCTTCAATACTGGTCATGTGCAAGCTGAATTAGAAATGATGCAGTCTAACTTTCTGTGCAGGACTGATGAGGGTGTGTCTAAGCAAAGATCTCCATAATCACACATGGTATCAGGTTTTATCCACGGATACTGTTTTACACCAAACTGTTCAGAAGACATTTGTTCAAGCCAGTAAATACCTTGTGTATTTCCCTAGCAGGGACTTACAGTTAAGACATTTCTGATCCAGTAAAGAAACTGAAATGAAAGGATTGAAGTTGGCCAGAGGATATTTTTGGCAAAAAACAATGCTGAAGGACAATATCTGAAAATTTGCACCGAGGGCTCTCAAGTCAATAGCTCTAGGTTGAGTATGTTACCACCAGTTTATATCCGTGATAATCTTAGTTCTCCTTCTCCAAAATCCTCTCTGAAAATAGATAGTTTAATTATTTACAGCTCTTCAGCATTAAACAATACCTATGGGTTTTTTTCCCTACACTGCTGCCAAATTCCCTCTCCCCTGAATTTTAAAAAAATAATTAAGGGTCTGTTCCTACTCTTGTTGAAGTCAATGTCAAAACTCCCACTACCTTCAACTGGATGGCAGAAGAACCTACATATTAAGGAATAAATTCTGCTTTCACATATTCATGTACAATGCTCTCTGAAGTCTTCAAAACTCAGTGGGAAATCTTGCAAATATAGGTTCTCATATGCACTGACTGATTGGTTCCTCACACATTTCCTCCTTTTGGCCAGGGTGGAAATACCCTGAGAAGAGCATTTCCAGTAGTATGATAGTATTCAGGTCCTAGGAAGTGCAGAGGAATATGACACCCATCCCTAATTATACCTCAATAAAATGAGAGTTTGTCTTAAAAGTGGATAAAAGTCAAACATATAAATATAAATACAGAGGGGAAGAAGCTAAAAATTATCTACAGCACCAGAGACAAAGAACTGTATAAACTTATACAAATGTATAGTCTGTATTAATGAAAAAAATCCCAGTGACTCAAAAAAGAATCTATAAATACACAGAGATGTGCAACTGATTTCTGTCACAGTCACTTGCATTGCTCTTTGGTGATTATGAGTCAGAAGACCAACTTCTGGCATCACATGTCTGGATGCACAGAGGAGACAAAGTATCTAATTGTTCTGACTTTGGTTATGACAGTGGAATCTTTCCCACCCTCCTGTTTATTCTTCTGTAAAATTGCTGAAAAATAATGCAGATGTGCTATCTTGCATAGAGCACTGTCAGTAGTTGATGGCAGTGCAAGTGTTGAAGGACCCAAGGCAGCTATAGTTTATGACAGATCTAACAACTAGTCTTAAATGAAATTACAGCAGTGAGAAATTCATATGGTATCTGTTTGTTGAGAAGAAAATTCTGCCCCTTCATCTGTGGATAGAGCAATTATCCTGGCAGCAGAAAGAGGGGATGCAATGTGGGAATAGAAGAAAAGTCTCTGCTCCACAGCCACTCCCTAAATACCAATGCATAACAGGCAGGGACAGAGTAGGCTAGAAGGGACTGAAGAATTCATTGCTACATCCAGCTTCAATTTTGAAATTGAAAAACTTTTGTTCTGTGCTGTTCATAAACTGGCAAGTAACCGAATATTGTTTGCTTTGATTGAATTGCATGACCTTTATCCACTATTTCTGCACAAAACAAAAAAAGTTTCAGTTCCGGTTCCAAAATTTACTTTCCAGAAATGTTCAGACAAGCACAAATCTTTGCAAAAATCCAAAGTGGTGCAAACACAGTGTGACACGATGCACCCCTGCATTCACACCCTCCACACGATCACAATAATCTTCGTGCAAAGTATCATTTGAGAACTCATAACTTGCTGATTAGTAATATCTTGGTAAAATGTGTATAGCAGCATAACACGTGAGGTTTTAAAGTTTTATGAAGTTAAAAGTGCACGTTCAAAACTCACGTAGCACCAACTTGGTGAAACAGACCAATCTTGAACAAAGGTGGGTATGTTTGCCTTAATTTGCATTTAATGAACATTGGAATTCGACTGCAAATTAGCAAGCAGAACAGAAAGAAAATGTATCACAAAAGTAATCTCTTCACTTATTTTGTCGGTTGTGGATTAATTTGAATTACAACAATACTTTATAGCAGACTAGTAAGCATACTGCATTTTAGTTTGTAAAAGTAATAAAATCTTAGTCACATAGAGCCCACACTATAGCATGCACAATTACACCTTTGCTGAGAGGTAGGGAGAGATCACTATTTTTTTTTTCTGCAGACTATGTGGTTTAGCGAAATGTGGATTACGGAAGTTTTAATGTACATGCAGTCATCGGTTCCTGAGTTTTTCAAATTACTGTATCAGCTGAGCAGACAGGCCCAGATCCGGCATCAGAGCCGTTTGCAGGCATTTCCTTCTGAAGTCAATGTGACTCCACACAGGTGGTTCTAAAATGTAAGATCAGGGCCAAAAAGCAAGGTTATATTAGCCATTGCCCACTTGTCTTATATACATAGATTTATAGATTGCAAGGCTAGAAGGTTCTATTGTGATCATCTAGTCTCACTTCCCATACAACACAGGCTATAAAACTTCCCAAAAATAATACCTAGAGTATTTCTTTTAGAAAAACATCCAATCTTGATTTTAAAATTGTCAGTGATGGCGAATTCACCATGACTCTTGGTAAATTGTTCCTATGGTTACTTACTTGAACCATTAAAAATGTATGCCTCATTTCCAGTCTGAATTTATCTAGCTTCAACTTCCAGCCATTGGATTGTATTATGCCTTTCTTTGCTAGATTGAAGAGCTCATTATCAAATATTTGTTCCCCATGTAGATCTTTACAGACTGTTATCAAGTCACCCCTTAACCTTTTGTTTGTTAAGCTAAATCGATAGACTGAAAGAGCTCAATCACTCTAAGGCATGTTGTCCAATCCTTCAATCATTCGAATGGGTCTTCTCCGAACTCTCTCCAATTTATCCACATCCTTCTCAAATTGTGGGCACCAGAGCTGGACATAGTATTCCAGAAGTGGTGGCAAGCTTGAACCGGCAATGGATCTTGGTCAGCAGGTTATGCACATATGTTATAGAGTGATCAGAAAAGTTTTCCCAGCAGTGAAGGTAGAAATGCATAAGGCACATATCAAAGCTTACATAACAAAATAGTAGTTACAATGTTAACAGTGAATCTTTCTTTGACCCATTGTTTTGTAAATTACTGCATACAATCAAGTGACACATTTCTTAGTTTAGCTTTAGAATTACCTGACAATACAATGATTTCACTCTGGAATAAGCAACAGTTATACAGAAAACATTGCTCATGCTTACCTCCACCACAGTTGTTTTGGCAGCTTTGCACATAGGTTGATTGAAGTTTCTTGCAGTTTTCCTATCACAGGAAAAGAAGGAGAAAATAATTAACAGTAAGAGTCAAATTATAAGCATATCCATTTCAGAATTGAACAACATGGTCCTGTAAAATAAATGTTACACTATTTTCTTTCAGACAGCTGTGGATAAAATTGCTAATGGAAGAGGGGAGAAAAGAAAGCCATAACAGCATTTTATAAAAGGCATATGAAAATATGTTGCATTTTGCTAAATCACGTTCTTTACAGCTTTCCATGACTCTTAATGGCCACATTAGTTTTTGCAATTAAATATTCAACTGATAAACTCACTTATTTAATTGTTCAGAGCCAACAGCAGTATGCTCTGTGCAATATTCCCCCTGGTTGCACTAGTGCCTGTTGGACGAAATTCACTCCTGTGCAGAGGACCAGCAGGAAGCCTATAAACTGCTAAGGTCCCACGCATGACTCCAAAACATCACTTACATCGCACATGGGAATCTCTGCCATGCCAATCCTGGGACTCTCTCAAACCAAGCCTGCCAGCTGTGACAAATTTCCCTATGTATTATTTTTGTAACATGGAAAAATGGCATCTAGGGAGTAAGACAAACAAATCAAACACTTTCCCCTATGACCTAGCCAGAACTCGAACCCAGATCTTACCAGAAAGAAAGAAAAGTCTATTGAGCCACCTCCACGCCTACATCTCAGATGCTACTTTTTCAGAAAACAACACTTCCTTTGCAAAATTTTGGGCCATAATACTAAGTAGATGTTACTTTCCAATGCAGTCAATAAAATTCTGCAGAAACTTTTTTCCACCAAAACCAAAGTGTTTCAATGAACATTTCATCAGGAAAGTTTTTCAGGTCCAGAATGGAATTTCTGGCCAAAATCAGACACAGAAAGAGTCAGTCAGTCTCCTTCTCTTTAGCCCAATGTATGTGTCAGACCCAGGTTCAAGTCCCTGCTCTGTCCAGTTCAGAGCAGGAACTTGACTCTGAGCATTTCACACTCTAGCTGAGAGCCCTAAATACCAAGCTATTGGCTACTCTGGAGTCTCTCTGTCTGTCTCTCTCCCCCTCCCGTTTTTGGTGAAAATTTTTGAAAGTTCTTGTTTTTGTTCCACACTGAAATGAAAACAAATTTTGAAACCTTGCAATGTCTGGCAAAAATTAAGTTCTTTTCTGGCCAGCCCTATTTTCTAAGTCTTTACTCCTTTGTCTCTTCAACCTATTGTTTCATGCACATCACTTGCTTTTACCATGCTGAACTTTGGGCTTCCACTGCCCCCTCCTGGTTTTTTATGTTGTGCCAAATGCCTAGATGTAGCATGCACAACAGTTTCTTTCTGGTTTCTAGTGTAGTACAAAGATGGAGTGAAAACAACTTAACAGTCCAAGGCCAAATACAGAGATGGAAATTGTTTATTAATATTAACCAGCAACTATAAAATCTCTGGAGGAGACTAAGGGAGAAAAAAGATATTTCATCTCATAGCATCTGACAGCAGCGTGTAGAGTACAGACACTGCATGTTCAGCTAGCAAGGGTATCAGTAGTAGCATAGGCAGTGAGGCATAGTTTAGGTGAATAGAGTGCCCTGCGTTCCTGAACCCTCAGGTATACACCCTACATGGCTCTCTACATGCCAACGCAGTGCCTCCCATGTCTACACTGCTCTCCAGCTGATGGAGCCTCTCTCTGGTGCCTCCCCAATGCCAGAGCTTTTCACCAATGCAGTGAAATCTGCACACCAAAATGAGTGTAACTGCGTAACTAATGTACTCTACACACTGCTGTAAGTGTAGACAAGGCTTAAGGAAGTTACCAAACTCATTTATATCTTTTACAGGACCAACTTCTGTTGCTGAGAGAGACAAGCTCTAATCAAAAGACGCTGGTCCAATCAAAGATATTATCTCACCCATCCTGTCTCTCTAATATACTGGGACCAACATGGCTACAACAACACGGCATACAATCTCATTTATGTAAGTTTTTACACCAGTGAAACTACTGATTTCAATGGCATTACTCCAGATTTATAGCAACATGAAATCAGAATTAGACCAAAAGTCATCTTTCAAAAGGTCCACTCATTGTTCCATTGAAAAACTGAGGTTTTACAATAACTTTCCAAGGCAAAATACCATTGAGATCCTTGGGTTTCCAAGGATTTTCTAGTGATATAGTTGATTCCCCATTAATTTTATTTAATATTTCCAGATTCTGAACAGCATTCTAGTATCAGTGCTTCTATCTGGTTCTAACCATTTGAATAGCACTCTGACAGTAACCTTTGAGTCTCCTTGTGATTGGGAGAGATTGATGCCAATAGTTTGGCCACCAAAGAAAGGTTTGTGATGACAGTAAACTAACCCATATTTTCCTAGATATACATAGACCCACCCAGCTTAGAAGGATAACATTTATGTTACAAGAAGAATTCCTTTTATTAGGCTTGCTATTTCAGTCTTTGCCAAACTTTATCCTGTTAATTATGCTAAAAATAATCATAGTCTGATAATGGTGATGTGGTAACATTTTTAAATAGTGAAATTAAGGGAAAAACTTAAATTTGATTTCACCAGAATTTGAATGCTTTTTTGTTTTCAAAATCTGATCTGGAAAGTAATATTTTTACATAATAGCATTACATCAATAGGAGTCTGATAACATAGGCATTCTTGTTGATTATTTGGTCTAATTTCATTAGAATCTGACTAATGTAAACAGATCAATTTTCTATTAATCTTCTGTATTAAAGCATTATTATAAACAAACCTTGTATAGCAACACACAACAAATGCATCTCAAGTATTAAGTGTAATTATTGTCCAGGTGGTCCTACTGAAGTCAATGGGAGCTTTGCCATTAACTTAAAATAGGAGCAAAGTTTCCAGGCAAACAAAAAACAAGCCATATTAAGCACAGACATGGACAGACAATAAAAGGCATCTTAGTTTTAATATCCAAGTATCACATTTAGCAGGGAAAATGTTTGTGCACTAAAATGTACATTGAATTTTGGGAGTTTTGTCACAAAAAATAAAAAGTGAAAGAGAAATTTGAAAATGGTATCTGTGATGTAAAAATGAGATGCAATTCAAAGGTTTTGCTCCAAGAAATCAAAAGTTTTCCAATATCACTGTGGAAAAAAAAATACATTCACATAAATAGCTGCAGTGTGTTAAAAGCTAACAAAGTCAGGTGTTGCCTACGGGCTTGAACTCTCAACCTCATATCCCCAGCTGCTATGTAGCTTGTACATTCAATTACTGCACTTGCATACACATGCATAGTGTTCGATTTTTACTAGTTGTGTGGAAATACACATACATACAGGAGTGCACGAGTGAGCTTTAAAAACTGAATTGATAACATTCTTCTTGTTCAGACAACAGTTTCCGCAGTACATGTTCATTTGCATATCTATAGTGGGAGACTCACTGATCATACTAATTTGAAAGTTATGGGTTGGATTGGCAGATTTCGATTTTATATATAATTGTGATAGATAAAAATTAAAAAGGATAAAATAAACATTGATGTTATCAATTTAAATTTCCACAGTTGCAGGAAATTATTGAGAGGGCAGACAATTATTTAACAATAGAAGATACTGAGATTCAAAAAGTTAAAGCTTGATAACCGTTAAAACACAAATTGTCAGCATCATGTGCCAAAATAGACAAAGTCAATATCTTTAAATCAAACTCTAAAATAAGTTCTCAAGAAGAATTGTTCTTATTTTACTGATCTGTAAATTTCAGTTATCATCATTGGAAAAAAAAATTTTAAGTTTGTGGGAGTGTGTACGGTGAAATCCATGCTTCCCAACAAAAATCTAATCTTTCCAACTCTAGTTAGAGGCTCGTTGTGAGTGACATATTACAATAACTGATCTCTGAAGATGCAGAAGGACCTTAAGGTAGCATTCTCTAGAGGCTTACTGTTATAGGCACGGACCCAGACTATACAGTGTTTTTTAACCTTCCTGAACTGCCAGCTTCCTTAAACTTAAAGATACAAAGCTTCACAAAGGATGTTAGTAGTGGAAGCATCTTCCTCCCTCACCCTTGTTTATTGCCCATATATCTAAAGCAAACATTTTAAAATGTCCAGGGTAGAGCATAGCTGTTAAGGCCATCTAGATAACAAGCAGACTCAACAGGCAACACATGCCAGCCAAACCAATAAGTCCATTCTCCTGGTTTTGGAATCTAAGATTGCTCTTGACATGCACTGAGGCTATCATCATGAATGCAAAAGGTAGCTGAAACCAGTTGCTTGTAGCCTATAATGGCCCTAAACAACTTGCATCCAATCTGTACACAATGGTGTTCAAAGTCATGCCAAAGGCTAAATTCACAAGTAGCAGAGCTCCTTGAAAAATGGGTCCTTGTGCTGGCGCAAAGCATCGCAGCGCCATGTGCAGGGGGGAGGACCAGCAAGGGCCAGAACAGCACCAAAACTGAGTGGTATTGGCTGAATAGGGAGCATGACCGGAGCACCTGGAATATCCATTCATATAGCAGCTCTCTAAGGAAGCTCCAACCAGTAGAGTTCCTGGGATGCACTAGTGAGAACTGAAGTTGTCCTTGCTATCCAGAGGGCACATCTATCCCAAGCCAATGAAATGAAATTCTCCTGTGTGCATCCTTGTCGTAGCTAGCACAGGAAGGAGTAATTTACACTCCCCTAGCTTAATCAGAGCCAAAGCTTGGTCCTCTTTAAGGCATTAGAATATTTTGGTCATTATCTTGGTTATGTTGCACTGTAATGGACATTGATATCTATTAGGGAGACCAGGCTTGCTAGGCAAAGGCTGTCTAGAAGTGTAGTCTGCTCAGTACATGTTTGGAGACAATGCAGCTACAATTTGCTGTATTGAACAAAAATGCTGAAGGCTACAAAACATTTTTTCAGCAATCCTGTCTCAATCCTTCTTCCTTGAAGACATGCTGCAGTTCAACCACACATTGTTGGGCTAAACACAGGAATCAGTTGGTAAAATATTACAGTTTATATGCAGGAAGTCAGATTAGAAGATCACACTAGTCCTTTCTGGCTTTAAAATCTATTAAATATACCTTAATCCATCCTTTAGAGTGCAATAGAAGAACACTTTCACTTCTGCCCTTAGCCTCAAGGTGAGCGACAGCCTAACTGGGTGGCGGAAAGGTGGCAAAGGCATAGGGGATCCACTGTTAAAATGTGGCAAACCCCAACAAGCAAACTGCTCCTGTAGCCAGTCACAGTCAATACCAGAAATAGTTCAGTTCATAAAACTCAAGGCAATAATATGGGTGGAACGGACCCTGTTGGTACTGAAAACATGTCAGAATGGAGCATCAGGCCACACAGTAGGTAAAATAAATCTACTATAGTCTATTGCAATTTTCCCGTTGAGGTGTTCCTGGTAGGCCATGGGATAAAAAAAATCAGTATCTGTAGTAGGACTGCTCTCTACTCTCAGGCTGAGGGATACCATTAGTTTACAATTAGGTTACTTGATCTGGCAATCTGCTTGTTGGATATTTGCAGAAAGGAGCAAAGAAGATCAAATCTTGGCTGAAGGTATCCCAGGCCTGATACCGTTTCCTAAACCAGAGATGTTTCCTCCTCTCCTCAGTTGCTGTCAAATGGGGAAGTAGAGCTTTCAGATCTCCTCTCCAAGTGAAGTATTCCTGATATTAACTGTGCTTCAGGAATGTGGGAGGTATAGAAGTAGGGTGCAGGGAGCAAGAGAGGAAAAGGAACATACAATGGAAAGTGGGAGACCGATACGATGCAGCAGAATGTGGAAAAGAGAGGGAGAATGAGACAGGTATGTGATTGTGGAGAAAGAGGGAAAATGTGGGGGGCAAGCAAATGCTAGGGGAAAGATATGGGATTGGAGGCTGTGTGGAGCATGGAGGGACAGGTAGAAGAGATAGAATGACAGCTCCCAGTGCCCACACCCCAGGGGGCAGGAGAAGGTAAGTGAACAGCCAACAGGGTGGCCTACATTTCTTTGTGTGTGCACATTTAAAGTTCAATGATCAACCAGAAACAATCAATCACCCATTTGGAAGTGGGGGAGGGAGGGAAGCTTCCTCCTGGAGGCTCAAAAATCACAAGGCAGGCAAAAAACAATGCCATTGATTTAAATACCATGATTTTTAAGACAGACCAACAACTGCATGTTTCCTTTGGGAATCTGACTTTGTAAACACTTGGGGTTTTTTGCATTCCTTATTTCCTCTAATATTTAAAAGGGGTGGATTACTTGACTTTGCAGTTTACTGTAAGAAAGTGCGCTCAGCTACCATAACATTTACCTCTTCTTCTGTTAGCAGCAAAATAAACAAACAAAAAACTGTGTTAAACATAAGCAAATCTCTCCTGTTTAAATGGAAGAGAAACCACAGGAGCAATACAGCTGCCTAGTCATACCTTGGTCTCAGACTGTGGCTAAAGTTGTGTTGCACAGTTCTGTAAGGGGACCTAGACATAACTCACAACCATACAGACCCGCGAGTTTTTCCATCACAAAGGATGATATATAATGGCATAAAGTGTCTGATCCTTCACCAGTGAAGTCAATAGGCGCTGAACCACGGACTTCAACAGGTCAGAATTAAGCTTATTGGTTGGACTGCAGACTAAATGCAGCTGGCTCTTGTTGTCCCCTGTGACCCTACCCAATATACTGTACTTAATTTTTATTTATTTATTTATTTAAATCTGACACCTTTATTCAAAAGTTTCGGTCTGTTCAGAAAGCTACTATGTTTTCCAGGAACCGTTAGTGGCTTTTATCAGCCATGCCATGTTTTTATCACTTTTTTTTATTTCACAGCTGTTCTTGTATTCTTGAAAGCCATTAATATATGCAATTATTTTTTGACCTTTTATAGGATTATAATTTGACAGTAGGGCAAAGCAAAATGAATAAAAGTGAAGTCAGTAAGATATTCATTTGCCATCAAGCAGGAGACAGGATTCCATTTCCCTTTCATATTGTTCCAAACTATTTAAGGATCTTCCTCCACTGGCAAACGGGCCATACCTGAAGATAACGTTTCCTGCACGATCAGCCTTCCATGCCTTCACAAGTGCAAAATCACCTGTAATTGACTTCTCCATAATATAGTGACGGCCATCAAACTCCCTCACCTGTAGGGAACAATAGTGCACTGCTGAGATGCAGACATCATCAAACAGACTTCTTATATAATAGTTATTTTGTGTGATCTATTTTACAGACAATTCAATTTAAACCTTCTTTTGTGTCTATGTGTAGTTATGTCTTATAGCTCAAGTGGTGCACGGGGGAGGCAATAACTTGAATTTATAGTTGCTATAGCTTCCTTGTTTAGGGAAACATAAAACTGGAATTCAGTACCTGTTCCCACTGCACCACCTACTGGAATTCAGCATGCATTATGCTGTACCTTCCAGCAGCTCACACGAAGTAACATGCCTTAGTGCTGCAGCAGTGATATTTACAGTTTCTATTCACACGGGGTGAAATTCATCCAGATGCAGAGGACCCACCCAAGGTCTATGTGCCTCTTAAATCCAATTTTGAGGGTTTAAGTGATACATAGCCCTCATGTATCAGAGGGGTAGCCGTGTTAGTCTGAATCTGTAAAAAGCAACAGAGGGTCCTGTGGCACCTTTAAGACTAACAGAAGTATTGGGAGCATAAGCTTTCATGGGTAAGAACCTCACTTCTTCAGATGCATCTGAAGAAGTGAGGTTCTTACCCACGAAAGCTTATGCTCCCAATAGCCCTCATGCAGACATTTGGTACAGGGGTGAATTTCACCCATTGTTCTCTGAAATTATCTTCTTTTGGTGCTGTGTAATTTGAAAATGTAACTCATAAATGGAAAAAGAACCAACTATTTTAATAGCTCCATGAAATTAGATGCAACTTGTAGTTCGCTACAAAATGAGTTTCTATACTTATCAAGCTAATGATTTTCCTGAATTATGACCTAAAGTGCTCTTAAAACTTGTGCTAAATGAAGCAAAGCAAAATATGGGAGGTTCATTAAGGCAGAAACTAAAGTCTGGCTATGACATTCCGGTAAAATTATCTCTAGATTTTATAAAACACAACTCTGTTCTCTTCATGATTGTTTACTGATGCTCAAAGCAAAACTGTTGTATAGGGATTAGGAAACTAGACAGAACAGGGTGTCAGTGGAAATCAGGTTAGTCACCAGAGGACAGGCAGTATGGGTAAGTCATCCATCAGCATGTTTGTTTTTTTAATTATCCATTACTGAGGCCCAACAGCAAAGGTCATGGGCCTTAGAAGAGGGATCTGGATTATCCATGCTGAACTGTGTTAGAGTGTATAGATGAAGAAAATTCAATGATCAAAATTTTTAACAGTTTCTTGCGCATTACCATCAAATTCAAAACCAAACCAAACTGAAATAAATGAGCAAGCCAAGCTCCATGCAGTCTTAAATTATAAAAGCACTATATAAGAGCCAGGCATTATTATTATTAAATGCAATTTACACCTAAATCTTGCACTAAAAAAAGAGAGCTGTGCTCTCTAATGGTTAGAGAAAAGAATCAAGGAGACCAAGATGATCCTGGATTCTAATCCTACTTCATGGATGGAATGACCACTGGAGAGTGGCATAAATCTATATGAGGGAGAGAAGTCTAAGCTAGTTGACAGTGAAGCTCCCTTACCATTCTCTATCCCACGTCAACGAATCCTGAATGGCTACATAACCTGAATAAAGGGGGATGCTAACCAGTTTTCTACCTACACTTAATATTGGTTTAGGATTGAGTACCTCTGCAGTGTGTTACATAGCTACTGACAGTGCAACAACAGGTAAGTCGATAGACTTCCTCTGGTCTCAATTATTTAAGCTTAAAAAAAAAATCTCATTCTGAGTCCTGGGTTAATAGACTGGATTGCTTTTAAGTTTGTAAAAACACAAAAAAAATAACATTTTTGTTTGTATTTAATTACACTGGCACTCAGCAACACCAATCAGATCAAATAAGTCCATATTCAATTTTAACTAAAACTTCATAGACGTGAATAAATTTCAAGTGAATGTGTCTTATTCCTTTGTGGTCACTTAGCCAAGATACGCACATCTAGTTCATTTAATTTATAAGGAAAGAATAATCCCTCCAGCCTCCTACTCAGTTTTATACGGTTTCTGAACACTAATATTTTCATTAGTTCTTAAACTGAAGCTTCTGTGATAGGTCTGCTTTGCTGTGACAGTAAAACACCTAATCGTAATCTAATTGAAAAAAATGTTGATTCAGGACCAGCTCAAACAGATATTGTAATTACTGTAATGTTAACAGGAGAAATACCCTAGCTATAAACAAAACAATTAATTTTATTAAATATGTCTAAAGCAATTTTGGTGTATTTTAGATTTAAACTTCGTAAGCCTTCAAATGAAAAAAGACAAATTATAGTTTAAGAACTTCCTTGGCAACTTGGTTTTTAATCTTACTGCCTTTTATGCTTACAGTTTGGATCAGCTCAACTTTCCTACCCTCTGAATTCCTTTAAATACTGAGGTTTCCTATTAATGTCTTATTTAAACGAGTAAAAGTATCTTCTCTCCCCTGATTCCCAACCCAATTAAGATTAACAGAAATTGTGCACATCCATTGAGAGGTAAACTGTGATAGTAATATATATACACACACACTTGGTGTTTTAATAGGGCCAGTTCACAAAGCCAAAAACAATTATGAGCCAAATCAGATGGGAGGAAGAATTTAATCAGAAAAATGTGAATGAGAATTGGGAATCATTTAATAACACTTTACAAGAGGCCCAAAAAGCCAGAATTTCACAACTGAGGAAGAAGATAGGTTAAAAATCTAACCTGGTTTAGAGGGAAAGTGAAGGAAGCTATAAAAAAAAATAGAAGGGGGAAGTTGATAGTAATAAACATAAATCAGAAGCTAGAAATTGTAGAAAATTGATAACAGAAGCAAAAGGACAAAAGGAGAAATCTATGGCCAGCAGAGCTAAGGTCAAGAAGAAGGTGTTTTTAAAATATATTAGGAACAAAAAAAATCCTTGCAATGGTATTGGTCCGTTACTAGACGGAAATGGTAGAATGATCAATAAAAATGCAAAAAACCAGAAGTTTTCAATAAATATTTCTGTTCTGTATTTGGGGAAAAACAGATGATATAGGCTCATCAATGGTGAGAACACTCTTTCCATTCCATTAGTATCACAAGAGGATTTTAAACAGCAGCTATTGACGTTAGACATTTTAAAATCAGCAGGCCCTGATAACTTGCATACAAGAGTTTTGAAAGAGCTGGTTGAGGAGCTCACTGCACCATTACATGTTGATTTTCAATCAGTCTTGGAGCCCTGGGGAAGTTCCAGACAATTGGAAGAAAGCTAAAGTTGTGCCAATTTTTAAAGAGAGTAAATAGGATGACACGGGCAATTAAAGGCCCATCAAACTGACATCCTGGGCAAGATAATGGAGCAGCTGATACGGGACTCGATTAATAATTAAAGGAGGGTACTATAATTAATGCCAATGAATGAGAGTTAATGGAAAATGTATCTTGTCAACTAACTTGTTCTCTTTTTTGGATGAGATTACAAGTTTGGTTGATAAAGGTAATACTGTAAGGTGTTTGTCTTGGTACCACATAACATTTTAATTAAAAAATTAGAATGATATCAAATGAACATGGCACACAGTAAATGGATTAAAAATTGGCTAATGGATACATCTCAAATTGTAAATGGTGAATCATCATCAAGCAGGTGTGTTTCCAGTGAGGACCTGCAGAGATCAGTTCTTGGCCCTACTCTATTTAACATTTTTATCAATGACCTGGAAGAAAACAAAGTCATCACTGATCAAGTTTGTAGATGACACAAAAATTGGGGGAAATGGTAAATAATGAAGAGGACAGGTTACTGATTCAGAGCAATCTGGATTACTTGATAAACTGGGCACAAGCAAACAATATACATTTTAATACAGCTAAATGTATACATCTAGGAATAAGGAGTGCAGGTCATACCTACAGAATGGGGAGGACTCTGTTCTGGGTGTAGGGGGCAGGGAATACACAGCTAAACGTGAGCTTTCAATGTGCCTCTGTGGCGAAAAGAGCGAATGCAATCCTGTGATGCATAAACAGGGGAATCTTGAGTAGGAGTGTATTTGGCACCGATGTGACTACTGCTGGAATACTGTCTAGTTCTGGTGTCAAGAAAGACATGGTCAGTTGGAGAGGGTTCATAGAAGACACACAAGGATGATTAAAGGATTAGGAAACATGCCTTAAAGTGATTAACCCAAAAAGCCCAATCTATTTATTTTAACAAAGAGAAGGTTAAGGGTAACTTGATTATAGTCAATAATTGTCTACTTGGGAACAAATATTTAATCATGGGCTCTTCAGTCTAACAGAGAAAGGTATAATATGACCCAGTGGCTGGAAATCGAAGCTAGACAAGTTCAGACTGGAAATAAGGTGTACATTTTTTGACAGTGAGGGTCATGCACCATTGGAACAATTTACCAAAGTCTGTTATGGATTTTCCACCACTGACAATTTTTAAATCAAGATTTGATGCGTTTATAAAAGACCTGCTCTAGGAATTATTTTGGGCAAGTGCTATGGCCTGTGTTATACAGGAGGTCAGACTAAATGATCACAATGGACCTTCTGACCTTGGAATTTGTGAATAGTGATTAAGCACGGATGGTAAGAAGAAGACATCATCACTGCTGCAAGAAGGCGACAGTCTAAAATAGACAAACTAGAATACACCAGGAGAAATGGGATTATGCTAATTTAAAGTTTATAGCATGGTCATACCACACCCAAAAAGTTAGCTAATATATATTCTGATAGCACTCTCATATTCCTGTTTATTCACTTAGTGGTTCAACATCAGGGGCCAAATCCTAGCTTTCAGGTACCCAAACTCCCGAAAATAGCTTCCAAATTTTCATGGAGGAGCACTGAGGTACAGGGCTTAGAGCCCAGGGGGCTGGTACATGGGTGAAGCCCTGATACACCCACAGTCCATATGAGCAGCACCCCACCTCCCCATTTGAATAACTTGTGCTCCTGGCAAGTTTCACCTGCCTGGCTGCTATACAAAGAAGGCTCCTAAGCCAATCTAAATATAGGTGCAAAACAATTCTATTTTTACAGTATTCTTTTGCACAGTTTTACTTAATAAGACTCAAAGCGAGATAGGATATGTTCTCAGGTCTGACTTACCTGAAATCACAGACTCAAATCCCAGAAGGGCCAATTAAGCCCTTCATCCTGCCAAGACACAACAATGGAATACCATGCAGTTTACTGTGTCACCTCAGATACTGGAGACCTGTCTATTCTGTGTGAACACTAATGGGCCAATGGTACATTCTAGAACAGTAGTCTTGCCCTGGTGTCATGGGCCAAGCTTACCCTCCCGTTTCACTATTGTTCTGTATGCCAGATGGGTGCCATTTTAGTGGTCTGTATGTATATTGTTTGTGATTTATTATACAGGATGATTTATTTCATGAGGGTGAGAGTGTGACTCAGAGGCACAGCCCCCCAGCAGTGTATGTTTAACAATTTACAGTGGAAACTCCTGGAATCAGCATCAAAGATGCAGCTAAAATTCCTCCGGGGATTCTGACGGAATACAAGACAGAACATGACAGGGGCAGCTCTTTGTTTCACAGGGCAGAGATATGCTCTGCCCATGTGGGAACAGCCCAGATGTCTGATGCAGAAGCAGGTAGGGCTATGGCCTTAGCCATCTGCCTCCTTTGGGCAGGACCATCAAGGTATTGTAGCCCTCCCTAACACAGGTACTCCACACGGGTGAAAGGAACCTTACACCTTCTTCCACATCTTGCTTTAAATAATGACCCACCAGGCCTGTCTGTTCTTATACAGTGTATCCATTATGCTACAGCTCTTGCTTTTAAAGGATTACTTGAAAATTAAATAGAGCTGGAAACCAGACTGACACTTGTTAAGTTGCACCAAGATTTTGGTTATATAATAATCTCTTTCTAACCTCTTTGCCAGGTGATCCAATTCTTAACCACTGTGTTTCTTTAGAAATCATTAGAAAAAAAGGAAGACTGAACTATGCAAGAAAGAGCAGAGACGAAAACCATCACCATCTGTCTGAAGAACTGTGGTGTCAATATTATTGATTATCATTCATCTGCAGACAGTGAGGACATAAATCCCAGAATAGACATGAGAAATGTAATTTCTCACAACAGTGTGGAAGAAGGCTGGAGCATCTAAAAATACTTATAAGAGCATAACAAAGAATAATTCTTCTGAAAAAGAAAAAAACCCAAGGAGCCAAAAGTTCAGTTATAGGGCTTCACAAGGAGCTATTTAATAAAATGAAACCTATACTGAAAATTGACGTGGAGGGAGGCAACCAAACAAGAATAGTTAGATTGTTTTGTGGGCAGGGTTTGGGGAGACAGGGAGGGAAGCAGGATAATGAGGTGATTCTTGCAAAAAAAAAAAAAAAAAAAAAACAAACCACCAAGAAGGATATGAAGGGCTTCTAAAAATATATCAAGAGAAAATAGATATGCTAGAGAGAAAGTGGGCCACTTAATAAATGGAGGAGAAAGATTAAATTAGATGTTAAAAAACCACAGTGACAAGTTCAGTATAAAAATTTAGATTAAGTTGAAGATTACTCAAAGTCTCTTCAGATACAGAATTATTACTATAAAATCAATCTTCTTGTAAAAGAAGAGAAGGAAAGTTGTTTGGACAATTAGGAAATTCTTTTAAAAATAGCTATCGACAAACAGTAGAGAATATTTGGAAAAAAGCACTGCTTTAGCTCTAATGATGATGATGTAAACCTTCGCTGCGGTGCCGTTCTGCTCTTCAGCAGCTGAGAGAACATTCACTAGAAATTATATTATATATAATAAACTAATGGATAATGTTGAGTTATACACAGATGTTTCCCCTTCTCCAGCTTCTGTCCCTTTGATTTCCATATGAGAGACCTGTTTCTCAATTTGAAGCAGTACTTTTTTCGGTGTCTTTTTAATTTCAAAGCCTTATACCAAATCACATTTCAGCTATCAGTACCCAAGGTCGGGTCTACACAACAGATTTATATTGGTATAACTATATTGCTCAGGGGTGTTAAAAAAAAAAATCCACACTCCTGAGTGACGTAGTTATACCGCACTGGTGTAGACAGCGCTATGTCGGAGGGAGAGCTTCTCCCATCCACATAGCTACTGCCTCTCACAGAAGTGGATTAACTACACCAATAGGAGAAGCTCTCCCAGCGACAAAGCAGCATCTTCATGTAAGTGCTACAGCGGTGCAGCTGCACCAATGCAACGTTTTGTACGTAGACCTGCCCTCAGAGTGGTTTCTGAATGTGTTCATGCTAAGTGAGCCTTCTTCTCTTTAACAAGTCAACTTCCTGACCCTTCTGAATTCACATAATTATTAATCTGTAACCTCAAGATTCAGATGGTCTCAGAAGAGGTTACACTGCTGTTTATCCTGTGAACCAGCAAGGAATTCAGATTCTAAACCTGCAGGCTTTAGCACAACAGAATGGCATCTTACCTCTCTTGGCTGACTGGCAATGGCAATGCTGCCATCTTTGTTGTATTTGATAGGCGCTCCTCCTTCTTGTACCAACGTTCCATAGCCCGTGCTTGTGAAAAATGCTGGAATGCCTGCCCCTCCTGCACGGACTCGCTCAGCAAGCGTACCCTAGAGGAGAACAAGTCCAGAAGCAAACAATGACGACTTGGATTTGATTTTCCTGTAAGAACAGCCACTTCAATAAGAGACATTTTTGTGGGTTTTTTTGTTCCTGTACTTTGGGATTTTTCCTTTTGATCCTATTAGAAACATTGAAAAATAGTCTATTTCCCCCTCTTGTTATTTCTCCTGTGTTGAAGTGGCTCAACATTTGACAATAAAACCCTTCTTCTTGGCCATCAGTTACTAAATAGCACACTGTAGCTGAACTCCCCCATTCACTCAGTTTTCAACTTCCTGCCTCTGTCTTTTATAACCCCTTTTTCTCTAGCTTGTTTACGGGTATATTACTCAAATCCATGCACTCTTTGTTCTCTTCCCCACTTGGCTACCAGCATTAGTACAAACAGCCTTTTTTACCAACCGACATATTTGTCTAAATTCTAGTTCTCATGCTCTGAAGTCTCTAGGGAAACAGAACAATGGATGCAATATTCAAAACTGAGGCAGCAATGCCTATTAGTTTCAGCAGGAGGCTGGGAGTCAGTAAAGCCCGGGTTCTCTTCTTGAGTGCCAAATAAGCGGTGGTGATTGTGAGGCTGGCAAGCCAAGGTCCAGCTCTTCCTAAGGCCTCAGCTGAGCACAGACCAGTTCATTGCTGGAAACCAGTTGTTTCACCTGTAGTATGGTTAAGATGGGTATTGTACTTATAACAAAGTGTTTAGTATTTAGACTTTATGGAAAGCTTGTAAGTTGCTGCATGCATTAATCTCACTTATAATATCTTAAATATTACCTTAAAGCATGTAATAAAGTATTTGCTTTATAACTGTAAAAAATGCTTGACCTGAAACTGTCAGCCTGTCACCTGCTCATTTAGAAGGCTATCAAAACTAAATGGGCTATTGTGGGACATCACAATGCAAAGACTTTGTTAATTGTCCCTTCATGCACATAAAGAGGCTATGTGCAAAAGGGATCAACCCATGAGCTTGAATTCTGGAAGAAGGAAATAAAGGTAGTGAGCAAGAAAATTTTTCACCTCTTTGGCTGTTTGAAATCTTACAGTGCTGGAGCTATGAAACAGAAGCAGAGATCTCCAAGGTCAACCTGGGGTTAGCCCTAAAAGACATTCAGTGCTGACAGATTGCTACAACTCTTGTCACCTTTCAGAACCACTGACTAAGTCATTTGTGTATATATGTTTGCCTGCTTTAACTTGTAAGTAACTCTTTCATTTCTTTTTCCTAGTTAATAAATCTTTAGTTAGTTTATTACAGGACTGGCTACAAGCATTGTCTTTGGTGAGAGATCTGAGGTACAAACTGACCTGGGGTAAGTGACTGTCTCTTGGGATTGGAAGCAACCTGAATGTGATATGATTTTTGGTGTATAGCAACCAAGTCCAGCTTGCATGGATGACAACATAGACTGGAATGCCCCAGGGGACTGTCTGTGACTCCACAGTAAGACTGTTATAGTGCGCTTCAGGAGTTCACATTTGTTACTGGGTTGGTGAAATCTAATTATAGAACATACAACCAACTTGGATTGACTGCCTTTTTTTTGACAGTCTGCCTTGAGAGTGGCACTCCAGGCAGCATGACAGTGATATCCATATAATCTATTGCGTTTAATATGTACCTTTATCTACCTCTTTTACACTTTGCAACTAATCCATCTCTACCAGAACTACTAGCATTCAAAAGCCTCTATCAGCTACAAATGATTGTTTTCAGTTAGTTTGTTTTAAAAGTAACTTGCCAGAGAAATGTATCCTCCTTTCCCCATCATCTCTCCCAAATTATATTAATAGACTTACAGATTTTAAGGCAAGAATGGATCATTGTTGTGATCACTTAGTCTGACCTCCGGTATCACACCAGACATTGAATTTCTCCCAGTAATGCCTGTACCAAGCCCAGTAATTTGTGGTTGAACTACAGCATATCTTTTAGAAAGGCATGCAATCTTAATTTAAATATTTCATGTGATGCAGAATCCACTACATCCCCTGGCAAGTTGTTCCAGTGTTAATGAACCTTACTGTTAAAAACTTGCACCTGGTATACCCAGTATCACACAACTCTCACATTTGAGAAGTTTGTTAGATCTTCAGGTTGGCGGTACTGGTTACAAAGTGGGGAGGGGAAAGTGGATTGCTTGAGAGTCTGGGTGGGAGGTATTCAACATAGAGGATAAACTAACTTTGGTAGCTGAGGAAGTGGCAAGAGCCAGAGCTTTTCTGGGCCAGCCAATCGGGTAGAAAGGAATGCTGGATGCTTCTCCATCTCTAGTGTTCAGACAAGCAGCATTCTCAGTAGCATAGAGCCAAGAGCAACTGCGCACTCTATATGTACCTGGGGTCAGATCTGCACAACACATAGTTAGGGCGCCTATTGCAGCCTTAATTAATAACACCCTTTATTCCATGTGTTATGTCTTATGCTGTGTTATTTCAAAGGATATGTTTTAGTGACTAGCTGCATGTTTTAGAATTATGCAGTCAGTTTTACAATACAGTAACTCCTCATTTAACGTTGTCCCACTTAACGCAGTTTCAATGTTACATCCCTGCTCAATTAGGGAACATGCTCGTTTAAAGTTGTGCAATGCTCCCTTATAACATTGTTTGGGTGCCTGCTTGTAAGATTCTGTGGAAGAGCAGCGATTTTACAAGGGAGCATTGCACAAATTCTGCTTCTCTGCCTCCTCCCCCTCCCTCCCAGCGCTTCCCCCACCGCCAAACAGCTGTTTGGCAGTGCTTAGGACTTTCTGGGAGGGAGGGGGAGGAGCAGGGAAGCATCCACTCCTCCCCCTCCCTCCCAGAAAATCTTAAGCACCACTAGACAGCTGTTTGGCGGCGCTTAGGACTTTCTGGGAGGGAGGGGGAGGAGAGGAGACGCAGGACTTCCCTGCTCCTGCCCCTCCCTCCCAGAAAGTTCTAAGTGCGAAGTGCTGGGAGGGAGGGGGAGGAGCAGGGAAGCGCCATGTCTCTGCTCCTCCCAGAAAATCCTAAGCACCGCTAAACAGCTGTTTGGCGGCGTTTAGGACTTTCTGGGAGGGAGGGGAAGGAGCGGGGAAGCCCTGCATCTCCGCTCCTCCCCCTCCCTACCAGAAAGTCCTAAGCACCGCCAAACAGCTGTTTAGCGGTGCTTAGGAGTGAGGGGGGGGGGAATGTGGCGTGCTCCGGAGAGGAGGTGGAGTGGGGGTGGGAAGAGGTGGGCCTGGAGTGGAGCGGGGACAGGAAGAGGCGGGCCTGGAGCATTCCCGGCAAAATCCGAGCCTGTTCTCCGGGGAAGCTGCCACTGCTGCTGCAAAGGTGCTTCCTAGCATCCTTGCCTGCAGCGGGCTGTGCCTGTGTGGGGTAAGCCAGGGGCAGTTCCCAACCACGGTACAGTACAGTACTGTACAGTATATAATGCCTTTTGTCTGCCCCAAAAAAATTTCCTTGGAACCTAACCCCCCGCATTTACATTAAATCTTATGGGACAATTGGATTCGTTTAACATTGTTTCACTTAAAGTTGCATTTTTCAGGAACATAACTACAACGTTAAGTGAGGAGTTACTATATTAGATCTAGTACAGTGTCTTATTGATACCCACATTCTAAGTTACCTTTGTACCCAACATCCCTGATTATCCTTTAGTGCAAGAACTGCTATAGCTGGGTTGGGCTGAAGAGCTAACTTGTAAGCATTAAATTCTAACTCAATATATGCACACTGAGATTTAACACAAAAGTACGACTGAATTCAACTAACATGTTATTAATGTTTTAAGTTTCACACTGTGCTACTTAAAACTCCAATTTTAACTCTTTCCCACTAGATAGCAGAAGTTACATATTTACTTCTAATCTAATAAACAAAGATGGAGCAAATACCCCAACTCAGGGGTTCTCTAACTTTTTTCATATCATGAACCACATCTATAGAGAGTCTTCTGGACCATCTTTCCACCCATTCATGTTTGCATAATATCCCTGTACATAACTCCTCCACAAAACACCTTCTTCTCTGATTTTGACATCTGGATCTTCTCTTCTTCTTTTCACGGTCTCTTACCCTCATCTTTGATTATTTCATTTGACCCCTTAGCACTCAACTTCTAGTTTGACTTTCAACCCTGGATCAATGCCAAAATAGCCATTCACTCAACTGTGTCTTCTCAACACACTGTTCTTTCTTGGATTTCTCAATATTTTAAATTTTCCCACCATCCAACTACCACTGCATCTCTTTCAACTTTGTTCTAGACCCATTACTTTCACCTGACCCTTCCATGACCCCCAATCCATCAATCTCCCTGACTTTATTCCTCACCCTCTGACCCCGCTTCCCAGTTCTTTCCCCAATTACTTCCATAGACTCAGCCATCTATTCCCTCCACTTCATTCACTTTTACTCTCAACTGTTGGCCCCCTTCTCTTGCCATAAAGTCTGTTCCACTAGCCCTCAATTCCAGCTCACTCCCCAAAGCTCTCTTCCTCTCCATGCTGCTCAACTTGTCATTGTGTTTAAGAATATAAGTTCTCCTGAGCAAGACCTGTTCCCTCTTCTACGTTTACCTAGCAGACTGCAGGCACTTCTAGAAACAAACAGTGAGCAATACTTAATATTTAAATTTCTTATTAAGAAGCTTTTTAAGGTGATTTATCATCAAGTGGTAACAAGAGAAGTTTACATTGCATGATCAATCATTTCACAACAGATCACCAGCAGTTCACAGGCCTCCATTTGAGAACAACTGCCATGTGTGTTTACAACACACACCTACCTCTATGGAAAATATTAGTGTTGTAAAACAACAGTAAAAGAGAAAAGACCCCTTAAAAAGAAAACAAGATGAGAATCCTCTATTACAGACCAAAAAGGAGAATTGACTGATCCCCTTATGGAAAGCAGCTTACCTGAGGTGTAAGCTCAACTTCCAATTCTCCAGATAAGTACTGTCGTTCAAATTCTGCATTTTCTCCAACATAGGATGATACCATCCGTTTTATCTGCTTAGTTTGAAGCAAAAGACCAAGTCCAAAATTGTCAACACTGTGCAGAAAAACACCAATAATAGTCAACATCCAAAATACAGAGCATTGTGCCATCTTCAAAACACTTTATAAACATTAATGAATTAACAAGGCACTTGTAAGACAAGGAAGTATTATTCTTCCCATTTTACAGATGGAGAAATGGAGGCAAAGGAGCAAGACCCAGTTTTTAGAGGAAGAAAATGTCAGTGCCAGAATTAGAATTGAGGCGTCACTGGCACCTTGTGATCAGACATCACCTCAGGGTGAGAACGCTAAGTAAAGCTAAAACCTTTATTTGAAAGGTGTTTTATTTGTTAAGCTGCCATTTGTAGCTACAAATGACAGCTTAACAAATAAAATAACCTTAGAAAGCTTCTGCTTCAATTGTTGCCTCACCAATAAATAAATAAATAGACACTAACGGGCACAACCAGGTCTCTGACAAACAAAGAGTTAATTTCAGATCATTTTGGATTTCCCCTTGCACAGATGCTCAGGGAAAGGAAAATAAGAGTGGGTGCTTGGAAACAAGCGAGAGGCAGGTCTCCAAGTCCAAGGTCGTAGGGTGAGTTGTACTCCATACAGGGGTGTTTTTCCTATTTTATTTTCTGATTACAGTAAACATTTCACTTTCTTGTGAAAGCCACTACTCCTTGAGGAACAGACATGACTGCAACCGAGGTTTTCTTCAGTGAGTTACTCTGCTAGCTTATGTTGTGATTTGCATTTTGAACCAGCATATGCTATTTTTTCCATAGAAGTATATAATCATGCTAACGTTCCCGATGTCACTATTTCCGTTGCAGCCTTTACTCCTTCTGCCACCATCTCACCCTCTCTACTGGTGGGACAAGGCTATGTGATGAGACTTCCATTACAGAGTAAGCTGACCGAAGGAAGCAGTTTCAGCCTTACAGACACAAAATTAAGATTTAATTAAAAAAATTGGCAGTACAGACAGAAAATAGCCAAAGAAAGCTTCCCCTTACAGCCCCAAGCCTGCATTGAATAGCAGCTGACTGCTCCACCCACCCCAAGCCCCACTGACTTTAAACAGGGCTCTCTGTAGGACGTGGACAGACTATTGCACATGAATGAGGCCCAAACTTTCCCTAAGCCTCAAAGCCCTCCAAGCCCCAGCACTTTCTTCCCACAAAGAAGTTATAAGAAGTTCTTTCCGCAGCTGCCCATAAAGACAGCGTTAGAATTTTAGTGTTTGTTTGCTGAACATTTGTAACAAGGTGCCTCCCTATAAACTAACAGACAATATTTGCTGTATGCCCTCAGATTTCAGGATAAGAAACAGAGAAAACCTATAAAAAGAAACTTTCTATGGGGCAAATCAAGATATCCAGCACACTATAGTTGAGAATGCAAATTTGCAATATACAGAGCCTCATGGAAAACACCAGTATATTATACATTTTTAACTCAAACACAACTTAGGGAAAACTAATTGGAATTATCCATTATTATAGACAAAAAGTAGATTTTTTTAATCCCCTCATAAAACAATCTTTCTTTGTCCTTCAGTGATGCGGGCAATTATGTAATGTAAAAAATTAGGGGACCATTTCAAAGGCAATGATTAAAACACCCACAATTTATTCTGGACTCAACTTTGCCACTGGTATACCTGTTGTCTTGAAAATTAAAACAATTTATTGGTTACATAAACCTATACCAGTCCCTATCACCGAGTTAGGCTAATTCATTCTCTAGCTGACATTAAAAGTGAATTAACTCTACATCAATGATGCCATTAGGAGGCAATATGTTGGATTGCTCTCCCTTCCATTTCTTCCCCTCCCTTCAGATTACAGAAATTACTGTTGTAAACATCCCCAAAGCCAGCTTTTGCTAATGACCATCTGCAAAGAGGTCAAAATGGATGCAAGGGAGATGTTCTGTTGAACAAAAATCAAATGTCTATTCTACAAAATATATGCTGCAGCTTTCTGAGCTCAGAAAAGAAAAACAATCGTTAGAGATAAAGTTATGATGCTAGAATGAATGAAGAGATCAAGAGGGACTCACTTGTTTTGCTAGTTCAGATAACATTAATCAAAGGAGGTAATACCAGACCCTGACCAAACCAGGCTTTATCATCTGTTAATACTGTGCAGTATTAGGTATCTTATCAAAGAAGATACATAACTGCTCTCATTAATGTTGTCACCTGGACATCTTATTAAGGAGCCAGATTCAGCAGTGGGTTAACAAACACAGGATTTTCATTTTTGAATTTTAAAGAGTAAATGCCATCTCTTATTTATTGACTTCTGAAATTTAAACCAACACTTGTTGTAATTTGTATAATTATAAAACTGATTAATCTTGTTGTGACCTTGCACTCCATATGTTTTATGGAAATATGCTTATGAGTGTAAATATGATGTAACTGGAATATGCTTTATGCAAAAGGTCTCTTGTAAGGTATCATTACAAAGGTTATAACCTACTGAATATATTCATCCTATTTGTATGAATGTATCATTCAAGTATCTGAAACTAGAAATATGAAGTATAACTCTGAAGTCCTATTGTAATTCTGCAAAGTGTGGGCCATTAATGGTGGTTTAGAATCTTGATGGCTCCCATTGACTAGGACAATTGATTGTAAATGGCTCTTTACTTGCAAACCTTCTGGGGTACGTGCAGACCAGCCCTGGAAGAATGGAGGGGGGTCTTACAGTGACATGTGACCACATCATATGATACTGGAATCCATCTTAAGCCTGGTGCTTTTCCATTTAGAAGGAGGGGTGGGGACCCAAAGAGACAAGATTTCCACCTTGTGCCAAAGCTATAAAATGGGGTGGAACAGAACAAAGGAGGTCCCAGTCATGATAAAGCCCCTGTTTTTCTTCTAAGATGCCTGCTGCAACTAACAAGGACTGTACCAGGGGAAAGGATTAGGCCCAGACTAGGAAAGAGTCTAGTCTGTGAAAGAAGCTTATTGGAACATCTCTGAGGGTGAGATTTACCTGAAATCAGTTTTTTAATGTATTAGGCTTAGACTTGCATGTTTTGTTTTATTTTACTTGGTAACTTACTTTGTTCTGTCTGTTATTACTTGGAACCACTTAGATCCTACTTTTTATGCATAATAAAATCACTTTTGTTTATTATTTAACCCAGGGTAAGTGATTAATACCTGGGGGAGCAAACACTGTGCATCTCTCTCTATCAGTGTTATAGAGGGCAGACAATTTATGAGTTTACCCTGTATAAGCTTTACACAGAGTAAAACAGATTTATTTGGGGTTTGAATCCCATTGGTAGATGGGTGTCTGGGTGCTAGACATAGGTGACCTGCTGAGCAGTTTTTGGTTAAAGTCTACAGCTTTGGTGATGTGGACAAGACCTGGGTCGGTGTTGCAGCAGTCCCAAGCTGGCAGGGAAAACAGGCTCAGAGGTAAATTCAGCACATCATGTGACAGTCCCAAGGGGGGCTCTGTGACCAAACCCCATCACACTTGCATTATGCCATTTTTCTGTATATAAAACACTTTGTATTATCTTTTGAAAGGAAAAAATGAAAAATCAATATTATTGTACCATGAGATGTACTTCATTAATTTATTTTGACAAATTTAGTAGCAAGCATTTATATCACACTTTCAGAGAGTTGGGCACATGTGGGCTCATTAATCCACAACACCCTCATATAGAATTGACCCTATTTTACAAATAGGGAAACGGAGGCAGAGACATTCAGTGACTTGCTCAAAGCCAGAGAGCAAGTGGCAGAGCTATACTGTACTGACTTCAAATTTTAGGGCCAAATAATGTCCTAGCTTGCACAATTTCTCCAGGGCATACGGTGCTTCCTTACTCTCTATCACCAGCTACTCATAGCATGGTTGCACTGCAATAAAGGGAAGCAGGTTCTACAGAGCCGCTCCAGCCCCCTTCTGTGCAGGTAGATAGGAGGAGCAATGACTGAGCACAGCCTTAGCTCCAGCCCCTCTCCTCCTAACACAGCAGCCAGTGCAATTGCACTGCAATGTATCCTACACACATATGGGGCTGCCACAGGATACTGCTCAGAAGGGGAAGGAGCCCAGGAAGCAAAACTGTGATACTCCAAGGGCTTGTTTACACTTGAAACGCTACAGAGGCACAGCTGCAGCAAAATTGCTATAGCGCTTCAAGTGTAGACACTACCTATACCAACAGCAGGGGTTCCCCCATTTAGCATAGGTAATCCACCTCCCCAAGAGGCGGTAACTAGATCAACAGAAGAATGCTTCCTTCAACCTCGTGCTGTCTACATCGGGGTTAGGTTGGCTTAACTACTTTTCTCAGGGGTGTGGATTTTGCACACCCCTGGGAAACACAGCTATGCCAACATCAATTTCCAATGTAGACCAGCCCAAACCTGCAGTGCTTTCCCAGGGCTAGTCTTCACTAGTAAAGAACAGAATTATTAGACACATAAATTAACGTATTTTGCTGGGGAAGAGTCACAGCTATTGTAAGGGAAATCATGCCTTGCCAATCTATTAGAAATCTTTGAGGGTGTCAACCAACCCGTGGACAAGGATAATCCAGTGAATATAGTGTACTTGGACATTCAGAAAGCCTTTGACAAGATCCCTTACCAAAGATTCATAAACAAAGTAATAAGTCATGGAATAAGAGGGAAGGTCCTCTCATGGATCAGTAAATGGTTAAAAGACAGGAAACAAAGGATAGGAATAAATGGTCCTTTATCATAATGAGAGAGCTGCGTAGTGGTGTCCCTCTGGGATCTGTGCTGGGACCAGTGTTGTTCAACATATTCATAAATGATCTGGAAAAAGGGCTAATCAGTGAGATAGCAAAGTTTGCAGATGATACAAATTTACTCAAGATAGTTAAGTCCAAAGCAGAGTTACAAAGGAATCTCACAAAACTGGGTAACTGGGCAACAAAATGGCAGATGCAAATTCAATGATGATAAATACAAAGTGATGAACATTGGAAAACATAATCCCAACTATACATACAAAATAACGAGGTCTACTTTAG